GGGTGGAGAGGGAGGTGGGAGGGGGGACCGGGATGGGGAATACATGTAAATCCATGGCTAATTCATTTCAATGTATGACAAAAACTACTGTAATGATGTAAAGTAATTAGCCTCCAACTAATAAAAATAAATGGAAAAAAAAATAAATAAATCTAATTTATAATTAAATATTCCCTAAATGTTACTATTCCAGAAAAATTAAGCACAATTTCATATTGGCTATCCAAAAGTAACTTATACAAATCTAAAGGACATAAGTGTGTGATGATTCATACACATAATTATATAATTTACCAAACGTGTGAATACATTTTATGACTGCTATTAGCACAAGCATCAAACATTTAAATGTTAAAAGTTTTAAAATAATTTTTATGTTATTTGTATATCACATCTAATGAAAATGGTATCAAGGTCAAAAACTGAAAATTTTAAAGACAAGTTATGTACAAGTATTAACATACATCTTTTAACTGGCTGCCCACTGTAATTTTATTTCTTCAGAATATTTCTTACCAGTACTTTAACGTTTATATACACATATATACTTACATTTGAATGTTCTTCACAGTTTGCAAAACACTTTCACTATTTCACCCTATTTCAGTCTCAGAAGCACTATGAAATATATATAGAAAATATTTTTTAACTACCAAACCTTGTGTGCCATTTAAAAAAAATCTGGGCACTGGGTCTCATATTTTGAGTTATAACCGGAAAAATTTTTAATGTTAACTGCAATTTAGAATTTCTAAAACAGGAATAACATAAGTATCTTAAATAAAAGATCAAAAAGGTACTTATCTGTAATGTAAAAAACCAAAAGTGAAATTGGGAGATGTCCCTTAATAAGATGTTTTCCAGAGTGACTCAGCAAAATTTACCTAAATAAAAGCTGGGAAGGACTTCCCTGGCGATTCAGTGGTTAAGAATCCACCTGCCAATGCAGGAGACATACGTGTGACCCCCAGGAGGCTCCCACATGCAGCGAAGCCCACGCACCACAACTACCAAGCTTGCACTCCAGAGCCCACGGGTCCAGAGAAGAGAGGCCGCCACGTGGGACGTCCCGCCTGCCGTACCTGGAGGATGCCCCCTCGGAGTAACACCCAGCACACCAGAAAACAAAACTGGGAAACTAACGCTGGCCACTTCATAACCTGACAAGTTCAGGAGAAGCAGAAGAAAAAAGTTCTCTCTATTATTTACAAAGTGGAAATTTTTCTACACTCTACAACTTTTGTGAACATTCACAAAACATATATAATCATGTTAGGAAAAGAAAGAATTAACCACCTCTCTGTACAAGTTTCAACCAAATAAACTTTTCCACTGAATGAAAAATTATAAAGACTATAATACTAAAACTAAATTACTATAGTTATAAAGTTTTAAAACAAATAGTAGCACGGGGATGACAGAATGAGAAAAACATTCTTATTCACTCCTGAGTACCACCTAACTATATCGTTACAGGTCACTCAATAATCACTCCAGCATTTTACCTAATTTTAGCTTTCAATGTTTACTACCATTCACTGGGTAACAAAATGTTAAAAAAAAAAAAATGAATCAATAACCCCATCCCTTAAACATCTTTTAAATGTACTTCATTGACTGTATTTATCTTTTTGTTCTATGTAGAAAAAGAAAAGATAAAAACTTACTTTCACTCTCCTAATAGCGTAAGTGTGACCGAGAAGTTCAAACACAGGCTGTCGTACATTCCTCAAGTCCCAGCCTCGCAAACTACAATCAACCGCCCCTGTCACCACCAAATTCTGAAAACAATTTAAAGCAAGGTTAAGTGTGCCTCTTTACAATTAAGCAGTAGCCAAGCTTTCCTACTGGAAATAGTGTCTATTTTCTGGTACTTATTTAATCTGAACCCAGGAGTCACTCTTGAAAAGTTACGTAACATTATAGAAATGGGTTAAAACATACAGCAAAAGCAAAACTTAGTATGACTTGAAAGAAAAGGAACTCAATATGCCTCAGGCATATGAAGGAACACAGCATACAAGAGAAAAAGGCTTAGTCTCAAACAACATTGTAGCTTCTCCATCTACTTTTAGGGATATTAATAAGAACACAAGTTATTAAAAATTACAAAAGAGCCCACCTGTCTCTTCAGCATCCTCTGAGGTTTCTACCAGGCTAAAAGGCAAGAGACTGCTAATTCGCAAATATTTGAAAGGGCAAAGGTATAAATTAAATGTTGTTTTCCTAATTCTAAATCAATCATTGCATCTAACTCTCATGGACCATGGTCTTAATGTAATAGCTAACTCTATCTGAGAATTTATGCAAATAGTGGGTAGTCTCCTATCTAGAACCCTAGGTGAACCCAGAGTTCACAGCTGAATAAGCCAAGAGCTGGGTCCACACTCAGCCCCATTCCACATCGACCAGGGCAGTAATCCATTGTCTGAACATTTTGGACTTCGATATAAGCTCATTTTAAAAAAGCTTCAGTGATTGTTTTAAAAAAATTTTTAAAGTACTCTCAAGGGTATATCAGCATCTTTTTTAGAATTCCCAAAAGTATAACATATAGTCCACAATTTCATTCTCTTTATTTAGAAAATTCATGGGTGAGATTTGAACTGTAGTCGTCACCACTGAAAATTCTATTAAAATCAAGTATTATTTTGAATATGTTCTATATCTTCTTTTAATTTATTTCTTTTTAATTAAAGAACTCAGCCAATACAATGTTCCCTTAATTTTCATTGACTTAAACTTGGGAAAAAAACAAAGTATATGTTATACTTAACAGTCACAGTCAACAGACCACTTCAGGTAGATAAATATATTTAAACGGCATATCAACAAATATTTAATCCATTTCTATTTCTAATTCATATGCCCATATGGTTAGCTGAAGGTTGCAAAAGGTTGCAAATGGACACTGCTCTCTTTCAGAAACATGAAGCTTGGTTAGGCTTGTAAGGGAAAATGAAACAGAAAATTCCTAAAACTGATGAACTGTCAAATTAAAAATCAAGTTACAAATAGTTCAGCAGCCTCAATAGCAAAGTGCACAAGAAATGGAAGGTTAAAGATTATATAAATTGGCAAGGTTAAGAGCAATAAAGTAAAAAATTACATAGATTGTAAAGCAGTTTCCCAAACAAACAAGTAAGGCTGCACTACTGAACTTTTCAGAATTTCTGTTTCTTATTCAGCCTGTTTTATGTGCACTTAAATCCAATTAATGCTAATGCAGGTCACTCACAATCATCAATTAGAAATGAAAGGGACTGAATCTAACTTAATGGCCTGTAAACACTATCCAAGTCCACATAAACAAAGATAAAATCTAGAACATTTCAACATTAGGAAGGGCTCAGTAGCTCAGGATAGAACCAGATAGGGTACCTCATTGTATTTACACCAGTCACAGCTCAAAATTTCTGCCTGATGTGCTGGAACCACAATTCTGACTCCTGTTGTCTTCATGTCCCAAATTCTCAAAGTCTGATCGCCTGGTGAAAGAGGAAGACTTGATCACCCTTTATCACACCACTTGGATGCTTGATACCCATGATGACAAGTCGGGGAAAACACACCACTTCCATTATCAGGACATTGTCATCTGTATGTCATATACACATATACATTGTTTTATACTATAATAATATATAAGAACTACTAAAAGTGACAACTACAAAAAATAAGGCACCACATTAAGTTTTTAGATCTACTCAAAGCAGGACAATCTGAATCTCACATAGACACACGCAGAGCAGTGGCTGAGCACACAGCCAGTGCATTTTTCTTCAGGAAAGGAAAAGGCTCTGAAAATCCTCATTTCTCTTAAGTAAAGTTAGCACCGTATACCAGCATATTCTACAGGAAGCAAAATGGTAACAGTTTTACTGTAAAATGTGTGCAAAGTCTACCAAGTCAGAATGGATAATTTAAAATCTTAGCTTTTACATTGATTACATTTTAAAGGGCCATCCAAAGGTATGGATTTCACCTTGAAAGAAACAAGTGGAGAAAATGTAAGGATTGTACTCTGAATTACTACAAAGATGACTTAAACCACCTAGCTTCGCAGAGTCAACCCTGATTAACTGTTTGAGATGCTGTTTGCCTTCAATTTTGTAAAATATGAGGAAACAACGAAATGACCAGATGAAAAGTTCTGACTACATGTATATCTCCATCAAAAGTAAACTGCAAACAATAACTGATCATCTGAGAAAGCCAGTTCAGGTTAATGTAAAAAATAATGGTGTGATGGCAGTCATGGTCTTGATTCCATTTAGTAGTTGTGTGACCCTGCGCAAGCTGTATAATGTCTCTGAGACTAGTTCCTCAGGATGCCTGGATGGAGGATGGTACAAAAACATTTCATGTAATAAAGTTTCTGTAAAGCGTTAGAATGGTCTGTAGCATATAGCAGATATGCTAATAAGTAGTATATAAAAACATTAAATTTTAAACATTTCCTTTAGCTACCTATATATAATTTCCTATCATCCCAATTCAAAATTATTTATCATTTAGCTAAGTTCCATAATTTCAAACAATTTTTTTCTGATTTCTTTGCAAGTTGAGAAAGATAAGAAGTAAACTGCTTGTGGTAATGAAATGTAGAGTTTCAGAATAGGGGTTTTGGAGCTTCAGAGCTTAGCTCTAGTCCAGCTCAATTATTTCGTAGCTGTTGACCTTCAGTCAAGTTACTTAACATCTTGGATGCTCATTTTCCTTACCTACGATAAAATATCTGCCTCATACAGACCCACAGATACAGGGAACAAATCAGTGGTCACCAGATTGGTGAGCGAAGGACAGGAGGACAATACAGGGGTAGGAGATTAAGAAGTATAAACTATCATGTATAAAATTAGATACAAAGATATATTGTACAACAAAGGGAATATAGCTAATAGTTTATAATAACTATAAATGGTGTATAACCTTTAAAAATTGTGAATCATTATTTTGTACACCTGCAACTTATATAACTTTGTAAACCAACTATACTTCAAAAGACACAAAAACATATCTGCCTTACAAAGCTGCCCCTGTCACAGCTAGACTGGCCAAAAGGAGATATTTGGGATTTTTCTGAACTATTAATTGAAAAAATAATGCTAGTCCCCCTCACACAGGAGAATTTACAGGTTGTAAAACTGAGGAATTATTGGTGGCCGTGTGTTTCACTGTATGGAGAAAGCTGACCTGCACAGTCAAGTCACCCAGCAGAGAAAAGTCCAGATTAGAGACAGAGAATATGTCCTGATGTTGTTTAAGCATCCGTTCCCCTTCTGGGGCTGCTTTTCAATAAATTCTACAAAGACCTACAGGTGCTCAAACTATTACCACCTGCAGGCAGAGGTGATTCCTTATCATCATGGCAGCAGTGAATGGAATTCACCTGAAGCTTCAGACTCTCAAAGCCTAGCGCCAGTGAAAAAGATTAAATTCAGCACAGGGCTTTCAGTAAAAACACAGGAATGTTTAAATGATGTACACTAGATTTCAAAAATTTATATCAAGTCTGATATAACATATAACACAGGTCATGGTGGAGATTTCTGACAAAATGTGGTCCACTGGAGAAGGCAATGGCAAACCACTTCGGTATTCCTGCCTTGAGAACCCCATGAACACTAGGAAAAGGCAAAAAGATAGGACAATGAAAGATGAACTCCCCAGACTGGTGGGTGCCTAATATGCTACTGGAGATCAATGGAGAAATAACTCCAGAAAGAATGAAGAGATGGAGCCAAAGCAAAAACAACACCCAGTTGTAGATGTGACTGGTGATAGAAGTAAAGTCCGATGCTGTAAAGAACAATACTGCGTAGGAACGTGGAATGTTAGGTCCATGAATCAAGGTAAACTGGAAGTGGTCAAACAGGAGATGACAAGAGTGAACATCAACATTTTAGGAATCAGTGAACTAAAATGTACCGGAATGGGCAAATTTAATTCATATGACCATTATATCTACTACCATGGGCAAGAATCCCTTAGAAGAAATGGAGTAGCCCTCATAGTCAATAAAACAGTCCAAAATGCACTACTTGGGTGCAATCTCAAAAATGACAGAATAATTTCACTTCAAAGGCAAACCATTCAATATTACAGTAATCCAAGTCTATGTGCCAACCATTAATGCCAAAGAAACTCAAGTTGAATGGTTCTATGAAGACCTACAAGACCTTCTAGAACTAACATTAAAAAAAAAAAGATGTCCTTTTCATCATAGCGGACTGGAATACAAAAGTAGGAAGTCAAGAGATACCTTCGTAACAAGTGTAAACACAGGACAGTTTAAACTCACTCAGGAAAATTTTTAAAATTCTACTTACATGTATGAACCAACTGGCTTCATTAATAAAATGGTGCTGATTATCCTTCTCTATCAGTCGTCTCTGCTACAGAACTGATACAGAAGTGCAGTGAACCAAACCTGGAGTCAGTCCAGGGTTGGAATCTCAGATTTGCCACTTGCTAGTTGTGTGACCTTTCATCTCAGACATTACTGTTGTTTGTCTTCCATCTCTAGAAGTTTAATATGGATCTTTTTTATTCATTTCTCATCATGCTTATGTTCTTCTATACTTTCTTGAACATATGGAGTGTATTTATAGAAGCCGTTTTAACATCCTTGTCTATTAGTTGTATCATCTGTGGCATTTCTGTATCTATTTCTATTGACTGATTCTCCCTGCTGCTTCCCCAGGTTTTAGGGCATATTTTCCTGCTTCTTTGAATACCTGTTACTTTTTTGTTGGGTAGGAGACATTGTAAATTTTACGTGATTGGGCAAAGATTTTTTTCTCTAATGCTTTAAATATCTTTAGGCCTTCTTTTGAGGGCTTCCCTGGTGCCTCAGACAGTAAATCTGCCTGCAATTCAGGAGACCTGGATTCAACCCCTAGAGCAGGAAGATGCCCTGGAGAAGGGAATGGCTATACACTCCAGTATTCTTGGCTGGAGAATCCCATGGACAGAGGAGACTGGTGGGCTACAATTCATGGGGTCACAAAGAATTGGACACAACTGAGCAACAAACACTTGAGGTATGCAGCTGAGCTAAAATAGGAAACAAACTGATTCTTTTGACTTGCTTTGAATTTGTGTTAGGCAGGTCCAGAGCATCCTTTAGTGTAGGCCTGCTTTAGTCCCAGTAGGTGCTTATCAGGAGATCTTTTTACTCCGGCTACATGAATATTAAATGTGCCAACCCTGGGTGAGTTCTGGGAACGCTCCCTTCTGATGGTTCTAGTTTCTTGCACACAGATGCTGATAAGTTCGCAGGTAAAGATGTAAGGGAAACCTGCAAGTCTCTGGAGCTCCCTTCTGTGACTCTTTCCTCTCCAGTGCTCTGCCCCAGGAATTTTAGCTGCTTTGGCCTCCCACACTCCAGACATTGTGTCCTCAAATAGCTGGGTTCTGNCGGCAGCCCACCAGGCTCCCCCGTCCCTGGGATTCTCCAGGCAAGAACACTGGAGCGGGTTGCCATTTCCTTCTCCAGTGCATCAAAGTGAAAAGTGAAAGTGAAGTCACTGAGTCGTGTCCGACTCCCAGCGACGCCATGGACTGCAGCCCACAAGGCTCCTCCGTCCATGGGATTCTCCAGCAAGAGTACTGGAGTGGGCAGCCATTGCCTTCTCCACAATAGACATGAGTCTGAGTAAACTCCAGGAGTTGGTGATGAACAAGGAGGCCTGGCGTGCTGCAGTCCATGAGGTCGCCAAGAATTGGACACGACTGAGCGACTGAACTGAACTGAACTGATCAGGTCTGAATGGCTCCCTTGGTGGCTCAGATGGTAAAGAATGCACCTGCAATGCAGAAGATGTGGGAGACATAGGTTCAATCCCTGTGTCAGGAAGATCCCCTGGAGTAGGCATGGCAACCCACTCCAGTATTCTTGCCTGGAGAATCCCATGGACACAGGAGCCTGGCAGGCTACAGTCCATGGTGTCGCAAAGAGTCGGACAAGACTGAGTTACTAACACTTCATTAGGTCTGAAACCATAAAGTCTGCTATATAACCATGACTAAAGCATTGTTTAAAGTTCAGTGAGCTCATGTTCATCCTAATAATTACACTCTATGGGTGTATGTGAATGCTCTATAGTATCAAAACATTACAATCAACGTGGACTAGGAGATTAAGAAGTAAGTAGTAATTTTAGCAACAAGATGGATGAATCTCACATAACATAATGCTAAGCAAAAGAAACCAAGACAGGACAACATAAAAACAGGAAACATTAATCGATGCTATTAGGAGCCAGTTCAGAGGTCACGCTCGAATGGACAGGGGTGGGTAATGACTGGAAGAATATAACAGGGGCCTCTGAGAACATTCTGTTTCTTGATCTGGGTCCTGAGAACCCAGGTCTCCAGAGTCTCCCGCATGGGCAGGCAGATTCTTCACCACTAGTACCACCTGGGAAGCCCCAGGACACAGCTGTGCTCATTGTGAAAATTCATCATGCTATAATTAGGCACT